CCTTCTCACCCTGTGAGTCCAGGCGTAGGCTCCCTTCTCACCCTGTGGCTTGCTGTGCTGCTGCTCTTGAAGTTCTAGTCACTTCTCATATTTCTCAGGGCCAATTTTCAGTTTGTTATATACTTCAGAACTCTGAGAATAAGTGTTCTTTTTTGGGGGGGGGGTTGATACTAAGTTTACATGCTTCATTTTACAAATGTTCTTTCGTGATCATATTTTCTTGGTATATAATAAAGAAAACACTTTTTCTTATTCCTTTTAGATTGGGAGTCTATGTATGTAACTGAAGGATTAATCCCAAAGCAGGAACTTTATGAAGAACAGTCATCCAGAAAGATAATTGAAGAACTTAGAAGTATTGGCCTTGATTGTCCCAGTTTGATGGGAGAATGGAGCTATGAGCATCGTTTTGAGAGACAATCTGAGAATCTAAAAGCATATTTCAAGGAAGAGACCACTGCTCTTGAAGCTCTGATTGATAACAGATCCTGGGGAGGTTTCTATCAGAACACACTGCTTCATGCACGACAGACAACCCCCAGAGAGGAGAGTGCATTTAAACAAGGCGCCCGCAAGAAAAGCTTGAAGATTGTTAAGCCCAAAAGCATCTACACAGAGAAGAAACTTCTGAAGTGCACCGATTGTGAGAAAGTCTTCCGCCAGAGCTCCTCCCTCAGGCTCCATCAGAGAATCCACACTGGAGAGAAGCCCTACGCATGCATGGAGTGTGGGAAAGCCTTTAGCCAGAGGTCAAACCTTGTTCAGCATCACAGGATTCATACCGGAGAGAAGCCTTACGAATGTAAAGAATGCAGGAAAGCGTTCAGCCAGAATGCGCATCTAGTTCAACACCTGCGAGTTCATACTGGAGAAAAACCATATGCGTGTAAGGTATGCAGGAAGGCCTTCAGCCAGTTTGCCTACCTTGCTCAGCATCAGCGGGTTCATACTGGAGAGAAACCCTATGAATGTATCGAGTGTGGAAAAGCCTTTAGCAATAGATCGTCTATTGCTCAACACCAGAGAGTTCACACCGGGGAGAAACCTTATGAGTGCAGGGTGTGTGGGAAAGCCTTCAGCCTTCGTGCATACCTTACTGTGCACCAGAGAATACACACGGGGGAGAGACCCTATGAATGCAAGGAATGTGGGAAAGCCTTCAGCCAAAATTCCCACCTTGCTCAGCATCAGAGAATCCATACAGGTGAAAAACCTTATAAATGCCAGGAATGTAGGAAAGCCTTCAGCCAGATCGCCTACCTTGCTCAACATCAAAGAGTTCACACGGGGGAGAAACCTTATGAATGTATTGAGTGTGGAAAGGCTTTTAGCAATGACTCGTCCCGTACTCAGCACCAAAGAGTTCATACTGGAGAGAAGCCTTATGAATGTAACGTTTGTGGGAAGGCTTTCAGTTACTGTGGTTCCCTTGCCCAGCATCAGAGAATCCATACGGGAGAGAGACCCTATGAGTGTAAGGAGTGTAAGAAAACCTTCAGGCAGCACGCACATCTTGCTCATCACCAGAGAGTTCACATCGGGGAGTCACTCTTACCCCCCAATCCAGGCAATCACCAAGTCCTGTAAATCCCAGCTCCAAAATATTTCTGAAATTTGTGTTCTTTTTTGTCTTTAATGCTGATCACTGCTATATTGTTCTAATGGGTTTTCCAGTATCTATTATTACTATCTTCAAGAGATATTCCAATAATGTACCCAAAATGACTTTATTTTGAAGTGGAATCTTGTGGGGGGGGGTGGGGAAGCAGACCTTAGGCTCACTAAGTAGCCAAGGCTGGCCTCAATTCATTACCTTCCTGTCTCTGCCCCTCAAGTGCAAGTACTGGGATTATAGAAGAGTGGTACCATACCCAGCAATTTTTTTAAGGTATAAAAAAAATCTCCACCTAAAACTGTCCCTTCCTGCTATTGTTTTTAGACCAATCAGCACCCTTAAAATTGTATATAAGACTCTTTATTGTATGATCCAAACATATCATTCAGTTTTATTTTCCCCCTGCCTGCTTTAGACACTAGACTTTTCTCAACACTGTGAGCTTAGTTCTGGGAAACCATAGCTCTGCCATTACTGTGGCACTGTGTGACTTTGAACAACTCATTTAATTTGTCTAAACCCCATGGTTTTAATCTTAAAATAGGGATGTTAAAGGCTACTGTATTGTGGAAATGTATTAAATGAAAGTATCTGTTGAAAATTAATCCATACTGAGATGAGAAATTTACATGCAGAGTACTTAACATAGGACATCAACTATAGCAGAGCCTCAGTAAATAGTAATGCCTAACATGTATTAGGTGCATGCTAGGCAACGGGCACTGTTCAATACAGGTAGCATACTTTAATTCATTTACTTCTCACAGCTGAAATAAGATTCACTGAACCTCTTTGGGAAGCACCCGATCAGAATTGGAAAAACCTAAACATTTTAGAACATAAATGGGAGTTTTCATCCTTTTGGTGAATAATCATTATAGACACAGGTAGTAAACAATAATTGATTATTAGTGTTTTATCAAGTTTCTAAAGAGAATGGAGTAAACCAATAAGATAGAATTCACTGAGAATAATTCAACACTTACATTTAGATCATAGCAATAGAATTCACAATTAAATCTAAAAACGTAAAGCAGAAATAAGTAGTTCCCATCAAAATACACTAAACCTAAATCATTATATGGGTTAATTGAGATAATTTTGAAAACATGTCAATTGTTTATACCTAGAAAAAAAATAAAGTTTCCAAATTTTTATCCAGTGCTTTTCAAAGTGAAATCCAAAGTAAAACTACAGGTTCTCCTTCATTCTGTAACTATTGAGTTGCTACTCCTCCACAGTGTGAAATATTAATACTAGATAGAAAGACAATACATTTTGTGCCCAGTGTGCTGTCACACACCTTAATCCCATCACTTGGGAGGCAGAGGCAGGCAGATGTCTGAGTTCAAGACCAGTCGGAACTATTACACAGAGAAACCTTATCTTGAAAAAAATTCATTTTAGCTGGTTGTGGTGGTGCACACCGGTAGGATTTGCTGAAGGAGGCAGAGGCAGGAGGATCACGAGTTCGAGGCCAGCCTGGGTTACACATTTAAAAAAAAAAAGAAAAAGGAAAAAATTTCATTTTAAAACCCAGAAAACTGTAAAATAACAAGAAAATAAGTTAAGGAGCATAAGCTATAGTATAGTCCCAGGAAATTTATTGGAGTTGGTGGTTATTCCTAATTCATATCATATAGAAAATGTTCTTATTGGAGTATCTTTGAATTGCCAACCCCCAATTAATGACATGGAGACTCCTTATTAATTATGAAAGCTTAACCTTTAGCTTAGGCATGCCCCTGACTAGCTCTTATGACTCAAATTAACCTGCTTTTATTAATCTACATTTTGACCAGGAACTTTTACCTTTTCCTCACTATAGCACATACTGCTTGCTCCAAGTCTGCTGGTGAAATCTGAGCACCTAGATTTCTCCTCTTCCTTTCTCTCCCCAGATCCCATCTATCCTCTCTTACATAGCTATTGGTCATTCATCTCTTTATTAAACCAATCAGAAGGCACCTTGTCAAAAACACATCTTCACAATGTACAAATATTCTGCAACAATATTCATTGCAATTCCTCAATGGAATACCTGTAGCCTTTAATTTCATACAATGCCCTGCAAGATTCTGGGAAGTGAAAATCCAATCTCTTTTTGTTTTCGTTTTTCCAGACAAGATTTCTCTGTATAGCTCTGGCTGTCCCAGAACTCACTCTGTAGAGCAGGCTGGCTTTGAACTCACAGAGATCCATGCACCTCTGCCTCCTGAGTGCTGGTATCAAAGATGTGAGCCACCGCTCACCCAGCTGGGAAGTGAAAATCCAAAAGAATAGCAAGAAACATATTGACTCTGTTGGTGGAAACTTCATATGAAAGGTTGGTCCAGGATGGTGGCAAAAGGTAGACATGGAGGGGGAGGTTAGAAAAATTGATTCTGTATGTCACTAGTAGTAAGGGATGTGCAAAATGAAAACATAATAAAATGAGCTATTTCAAGATCATGTTGGCAGCTAGGCATATGGTAAACGCCTGTCAGGAGGCAGATGCAGTCAGAGCTCTATGACTTGGAGGCCAGCTTGCTCTACATAGTTCCACACCAGTCAAGGATACATAGTGAAACCAGTATTTAAAAAAGAAAAACTAATGGGAAAAGTGTAGAGATGTGTGGATATTCATTGTTGTGGTTGTCTGCAGCATCAGTTGACAAAATCTTGTAAAGTTGAGGATGTGAGTTGTCTTGAACCCAGTAATTCTGCATTGAACCCTCTACAAAAACCCAAGTCTTCATGTCTCATGAGATGTACATGTAAGCCCACTGCAGTGGTATTTATATGAATGAAGGAAGTAACCTTAAAAAGCAGGCTTAATTTAGAATGCAAATTATAGAAGCCAATGGAAGATACTTCCACCAACATTGTTAAGTCTTAAAAGTATAATAATAATATCAAATTAGAGAGTATTTTGTATGACATAGTACCACAAGGCTTGAAAACATACAAGTACATGCTTCATATACTTTCCATAATAGATACTATATAGGGAGAACATAAAAGCATTTATGGAAATACTCACAAGATCCATAATAATGATGACCTTGAGGGAAAAGAAAAAAATAGATCAAGAAAGAATGCAAAGAAAAACTACAAATAAAGCAAAAATAAAGCAAATATGCTGTTGGATATTTGTATACTGTGCGAAGATAAATTACTGTGATTGGTTTAATAAAGAGTTGAATGGCCAGTAACTAGGCAGGAGGAATAGGCGGGACTTCCAGGCAGAGAGAAAGGAAGTAAGACATGAATGTAGGCATGCATCAGATGTCAACAAAACACAGAGGGAGTCAGTCATACAGAATGAAAAGCAAAATGCCACAAGGCAAAACTGATTAAAAATTTAAGTTATAAGAGCTAGTTGAGACAAGCCTAACCTAAAAACCAACCTTTCAAAATTAATAATAAGCCCCTGGGTTGTTATTTGTGGGCTGGTGGTCCAAAGATGGCCTGCTACGTTTAGTGCCCAACATGGGTATCACAAATACAGCTAATTCAAAGTGCTTGTTGGTGTCTGGGTTAGTGCTTCTGTCCATCTTTCTATCTAAACTGTTTCATAATAAAGGATAGAGGATATCACAATGGTGTTTGGTTTTGCTTTTATTAGTTGCTTCCTTACTTCAGGCATGCCTTTGCTGTCCTCACATTCACCATCTTTTTCAGAAAAGAAATTCACATCAACTTCAAGAGGCAACCACTGTTGCCAGCTGAAACTAGGCCGGTAATGGCAGTAGAGCACAAGAGTAACACAGCCCTGAGTTCAAGCTCCAGCACTGCCCCACCCCGAGGCCTAGCCCCTCACTTTCCCACTCCCAGCAGATCCCCACAACAAAAGACTGTTCTTTCACATTTGAGTGTTTTCAAGGTTGGTTCAGTTCTGCAAACAGCACTCTAAAGCTAAAGCAGAAGGAATGCCACAAGTTTGAAAGTAATCTGGGCTACCTACCAGGCAAGCCAGGGCTCCATAACAAGACCTTGTCTTCTGCTTCAAAAGAAAAGGAGGAGGAAAAGGATGTGATGCTCATGATTTTGTACTCTACTCCCCCTCGGGATAAGATGTAACCAAACATGGGACCTGCACAATGACAGGAAAGAAGTAACATGGGGCAGTCTTGTGACCGCAGCATCGTAGCAAGTTAAAAGTTGTGCACCCTGTCCAGTACCTACCTGGGAGTGGTTCCTCTGATGGCCTCCAGCCTTTACTGTCCCTGACTTTGTCAATCATGAGCTTAATCTACCTTGACATTACTTATAAAGGGGCAGAACACTTTTGGATCAATTCCATTGTGTTGTGGAATATTCCTTTACACTGTGTGAAGACATGTCACTGTGATTGGATTAATAAAAAGCTAAATGCCAAATATCTAGGCAGGATGTCAGGACAGAGAGAATGCTGGGAAGGAGGAAGGCAGAGAAGTAAAACAGATGTGGAATGAGTTGGACACACAAAATGGGATAGAAGTAAAAGCCAAGTGGTAGAGAGTAGATAAATAAAAATATGGGTTGATTTAAATTATAAGAGCTCATTAGGAAATAACCTATGCTGTCAGTTGAGAAGGAGTCTCCATGTGGTTATTTGGGAGCTGGCATGTGGAACATAAAAATCCACCTACACTATTGAGGTTCCCTTATCTATGTATTTCCTAGTGGCTAAGCAATAGTGGTTATGGGCATTATAGCTTTCTGTGCTTTCTTTGCACATGGTAACTTCTCGGCTGCCGTGTCCAGTCCTCTGGCTGTATAATTCATTTATAAGATGAAATATCTGATTGTGGATGTCTTTGATGCATGCACTTAGTCTTTTCCTTTGGTTTCACTAGGGTGATTTTCACTGAGTCTCAGACAGTTCACATTTAAACTATTATCCCAGCCTGAAAGGGACTGGGATGACAGATATGGGGGGCACACCTCTAACCCTAGCACTTTAGAAATGGAGGCAGGGAGATCAAGAGTTCAAAGCCAGCCTGAGTTACATCATACCCTCTTTAAAATGAACAAAAACAAATACATTAAACAAAACAAAAAAATAAAAACATATGCGACCAACCCCACCCTCCCAGCTGTTGGAGAGTAGGAAAGCTCAGCTTTAGGGTGTGGGAGTTGCCATGTTGTTCACAGAGAAAGTAGTGCTGGATTCCTACAGTGTACAAGTATCTGTGTTTAGAGATACAGAGGCACCTTATCTTGTCCTAAAATAGCCAAATCCCCTGGCCTAATAAAGGATTTATAGTACAATATGGATTTAAGCATGGTTGTTATCAAGTGGCCGCCAGGCAGACTCATTCATCATACTTTCATTAGAAGCACGGAATGCCCAGACTCCTGTTCATTGAGCCGCTGTGGAGAACAAGCTGACAACCTCAGAGTCACAACTGAGTCTATGCACCGGTGCTCAGGCTGGGAGGAATCTAAACCACAGTGAAGCTGAGCCAGCTGAGTTGGGACTAAAGATGCCTATCCAGGCTAAATGGGAATGGTTGGTGAGGGGGAAACAGTCAAAACTGTACTGGATGCTGACCTGGGACTACAGTGGCCCCACTAGGTCAATTGTGGGTACTTACAAGTGCCAATGTCAGGGAGACGGAAAGATTGTGTGAATGGGTGTCTCATTCTGGTGCAGGGCCTGTGGTGGTGGGCAGGGTCACGTGAATTGGTGGCAGATACTCTATGGGTTGGGAATGTGTGGAAATAAATGAAGTTTCTGTAAATGTCATAACTGACAGGGTGTAAGGGGTCAGTTACAGTAGTCTTCACGGGTCTGGGGCCAAGTGTGTTTTTTCAAAGGCAAAGAGTTGGAGAGCATTAGG